GTGTGTGTGTGTGTGGCGCTGGAGACAGAACCCAAAGCCTCAGGCACGCTAGGCAGGTGGTGCTCTATTGCTGAGCTACATTCCAGCCCTGCTTGATTTCTAACCAAGGATAGGCCCTGCTATTTCCATCTGTGCAGTAGCTAAATGTGCTGTTATTTCCACTTTAGACTCAGCTTTGGCAGGCCAGGTTCAAAATTTAGATTGAGGAAAGCACTAAGCAGCTTCAGCTTCCAGAACAGTTTTTCAGAAGACTTGTTTTGTGTAACATAGCTGATGATGTATTTAAACAAGATTTATGATAATCCATTTCAATGGTGATTCATAAATTTGTGTAGTCCCTCCTCCTGAATCTGGGCTAAACCTGTGATTTGTTTTAAACAACAGAATCAGGCAGAAGCGATACTATCTGCGCCTACCCCAGACCTATCCCTTAAGGTCTATTTGCTTCTGCTTATGCATTCTCGTGAGCCGGATAGGCCAGGCAACTCTGCTGCAAAGGAAAGGGCTCTGAGACTAGGCTATTTTAAGTCACTTAGTTTTAGGGTCGTTTGTTCCACAGCAATAGATAACTGAAGCAATGCTTACCTGGTTCCTGATGTTTCTGCATAATTTGTTTAAATATCAGAGAAAAGGAAGAGTATAATTAATTATACTCCCCAAAAGAAGATAAGGTCTATGTTCTTCTTGATGTCAGTGACTTTACTAAGCTCCAACTTCTAAGAGAACAGCACCTGGCACAACATCTAGAATACAGTACATCAGTAGGTGTTGTGAGTAAACTGCAAGTTTAAGAAATGTCAAGACTAAATCAACAAATGCTAGACTTTACTATAACCTAGAAACTCTCATGAAACAAAAAAATTGTTTAAAGATTTAAAAATTGTTTGAAGTGTGTACTAATACCTTTTACAGTGGTATATCTTTTTATAACTGGAAAGCTTGGTATGTAATGGTAAAATCATGACATATCATTATATATACTTTGGAAATAAGATTATGATTCACGGGCCTCAAAAATATAAGGTTTCAAAGATTAGGCTTTTATAAAAGATAAACTTCATCTTCAGACGAGATTGGGCACGTTCAGGGTAGTATGGCAATAGATTAAACTTCATCTTCAAAAACAATTAAAATCAACAAATTTTCAAAAGGAAACTAATACCTATATTTCATTAATGTCTTTTTCCAGACAAGAAATCAACCTTTGCTTTAGGATAACTATTCTGTGGTAAAATACTTATAAATTTCAAAATTATCTATCAACAGCCACTGCAAATAACTTACCATTGCAAATACCATATTAACACAGTTCAAATCTATACAGAACAAAAGTTATACATATTCCAAACAAGTAAATCCAAACTCTTCACATATAGTCTACAACTAAAGCTCCAAGTAATAAATGAGAAGTTTAATGGGAAAAACAAAACACTGAACTAAGTACAAAAATATGGGCTCCCATTTTAGTTTTAATTTTGGTCACTAACTAGCTCTATACCCTTTGGAAATTTAACTTTTTAACTTCTTTTGAGCCTCAGTGTATTCATCTAAAAGACAATGACCCACCTAATTGACCCACCTCTTGACCCACCTAATTCTCAACTGTCTTAAGAATTAAATGACAATCATTATAAAAAGAAGGAAAAATGCCATATTAATATGTTGTAAGATACTCAACACCAGCAAAGAGGAAAATTTATGTGTGCTTTTGTCAAACATTTTGCTTCCATTTTGATTAGTAAACTAGTTCTTTGGATACCACTCATGAAGGACGATTTACTGTGTTTTCCAATTACATTATATTTTCATATGAAGAGCAGAAAGATTCCAGTCTTTCTAATAATTACAAAATCAATGTTTCTAGAGCTAGAGGAGAAACCAAGTGGTAACATGCTGATTAGCACAATGAAATCCCCTCATCTGATTAATGCATTAATTTTTTTTAAAAAAGATAAAGACCCCTGAATGAATAAAAGTATTAAGTAAAGCATACAAAAATAGAGAAAAAAAATCAGGTCTTCTTAAAGTTTTTTTTATGTTGCTTATATCACCTCTACTCTCCCTTCCCTCATTTCCAAATTGTGAAATACAAAGACTATAATAATTAAAATGACTGATCTGATACTGCTATCTGCTTTTCCATCAACCTAAAGCATCCCTCAGACTCATCAGCTCTCAAGCATATAGAAAACAAGACCAGCACACAATTCCAATGAAAAATTTAGGATTTGAGAACCCCAAAATGTTAAAGAAGGAATCTCCTGGAATCTTGTAATCTTTACTGGTGAGGTCGGGAAAAGGCATTAACTTACTCAATCTTTATATAAGAAAGAAAAGCAACGTCAGTGGACTTCTGATTCTACTTTACCCACTTACTAAACTTATGACAAATTAAATAAAACTCTTGGGCTGGTTTGTTCTATAATATAACTTAAATAAAAGCAAATCATTTAAGCTGCAAACTGTAAATCACCACACAAATGCAATATTGTGATTCTGGGAACATACACACTTTGTCTCTACAATACGAATTCTTAACAGTGAATGGAAGAATCTAAAGGTTCTATTTCTTTTAAAAGTTTCCAGTAATTCTGATAGCTGCCACCAGCTATCAGACTGGTCCATGGTTTTCATGCAGAAGCTTCAAGTGGTCCATAGGCTCCCCAAAAACTATATCCACAAAGCATAGGTGCTATGGAAATTTCCCAGGCCAGCAGATTTCTTTGGTTTCACTAAGGGTTAGTATTCCCCAAAAAGTGGTAGATTAACACATATAGTGAGGTAAAAGTGCTTCTGTGGATCTGGCACTAGTCTCCCCAACCAACCTGGATGAGAATTTGTCTTTACTTTCTTCATTTTCCCACTCATTAAATTCTATTCCCCTTCCTTTCTCCTTTCCACTACCATTATACCTGGCATAGCTTAGACCCTCATTAACTATGACCACAGCAATCAGGTTTATGTACCTGCAGGCTTTCCCTACCTCAATCCACACTACAAGATGCTACCAGATAATTCTTGTAAGACAAAACTTTTAAACTGTTTCATTCCCAACTCAAAAATCAGAAGTGGAACCCTTACTGCCTAATAAATCCAAGGTCATCAGCCTGGTATTAACAATCCATAAACTAGTCCCTCTGTCCTAGTACAAATACTGTGTTCCACCCAACCGTAATTACTTGCCTCTCCTCAAATGTATCACTGTGAACTCTCTTAGCTCCTTCCTTATGCATCTATCACCTTTCCTTGCCTACTAAATCAGTCATCCTTCAAACCAAGGTCTCAAAAACCAGTTCTATAAACTAATCCCTCTAACTCTACCTTGCCAAATGATCTGAGTTTTACCCCTTCTGAGAGCATTTTTGTATTACTTGTACAACTCATCTATAAATTAAAAAACAAACTTATTGTGGTGGTACACGCCTTGTAATCCCAGCACCCAGCAGCAGGCTGAGGCTGGAAGATAGCAAGTTTGAGGCCAGTCTACTTTCCTAAGCTGTGAAGGCAGGAACTGCTAATTGTCCTCATCTTTGTATACTCCCAAATATCTCACACAGCCACGCAATACATGCTTAATAAGTGTACAAGGAAGTAAAAGAAATTTCAGCCATTAAGGGTAAGCAGTAAAGATTACTACCTCTTTGAAGAGCTCAGAGAGAGACCTATCTTCAACATCTTCTATGACATCTTCTATCCTGCCAGGTTTCCAAAAGACCTTTTAATTATTGCTTTTCAAAACTATGGTGTCTTAGGTCTTACAAACAGTTCGGCATTTTATGGGAAGAACTACTTGAAAACGTTAATAAGCTATGTCCCAAAGAACTATAACATATACTTTACAGGTCTCAATTTCAGTAGCTCTAAACACAGGATCACTATACTTTCAATTTTAAAAAGATTAACTCTTTATGAAAAATTGACAATTTTCAGTCACAGCTAATACACTACTTTATGGTTAAAAGCCAGTCATGTTAATAAAAGAATGCTTTTCTTTTTTTTTAAAGGTGCATTTTGTTTGTACAATAGACTTGGTGAGGCTGATGAAGTGGATTTACCCATAGCAACTCTTGTAGAAACCTGCAGATAACCATAAACCAGGTATTTCAGGTAAAAAAAAAAAATCACCGAAGGAGGGCGGAAGATAACTGTGGACGTTATCTTTTTCTACACTATTACCAGTAGCATTTTAAAGCAGAAAGTCAAATCCCGTGCCACATTCGCCCACACAAAAAGATTAAAAACTTAACAGAAAGAGAAAACCAAGTCAAGCTCCTGGGAAAATATTTTACCCTCGAAGAGTAAAAATACAAAAGATAACTCCTCTTGTTCGATAAGGAAGGTTTCCTATCCTTACAGGAGTCAAGGAAACTCAACTCCAAATGGATGGAGTAAAGAAAGGACTGCATGGTGCGTGTGCATACAAAACTGATCCTTTTAAAGGGTATAAAAGCAATGGGCAAACTACATTTAAAATTTTGAAAGAACACTGAGGGAGAGAGCCTAAGTCACCAGATGAGGAAAGGACTAGTAAAATCTTGCAAGGTCACTGGAACCTACCAGGTCACGAAAGGTGGAGTGGGGGGTGGGGGAGCTGCGGAGACAGTGAAGAGCCAGGGGTCCTCAAAACACGTCAGAAAACGACGCCCTAGAGCTGGCGTCCAGGGCTGGGGATGGAGGGATCCGGGTGAAAGTCGGGGTACCGGCAGCTCTGGGGAGGTGTGAGGGAAGGAGGAAAGGTGGAAAGGAAGACGGGGCTGGAGAAGCTGGAGAACCGGGGCTGCAGAGTCACCGAGACACTTCGCTGCGCTCCAGGATCCCCAGCACAGGCCTGGGCCAGCGCCGACTAGGGGCAGGACCCGTGACCCCACCCCAAAAACTCTGGGCCCGGCTGCAGGAGGCGACCCGGGGGCGGGCCGTCCCCTGACTGCCCCTCACAGGTCCCGCTGGGGGCGAGGGCGCGGGGCTCCCGGTACCGCGACGCCGGTCCCCGGTGTCCTTACCCCGCGCGAAGCCGTCGGCTCCCGGCGGCCGGGCGGCCACCGCAGCGGCGCCACCTCCTGCGTCGGGCGCCCTCACCCTTCCGCGCCCAAAATCGCCATCTCGCAGCAGGCGCAGCGGCCGCAGCCACCCAGGCGTCGGCCCCCGCAGCCGAGGCCGGCTGCAGCCACTCGGAACCCGCACGCCGCGCTCGCGGGCACCCGACCCTCCCCCCACCCCCACCCCGGCCACGCGCCACCCCCAGCCGACCCCACGCCTCCCTTCCTCAGAGCGTGCCGCGTGCCCGCGACGCCGGCGCCGCGCACCACGCGCGCGCGCGCCCCCCCCTCCCCGCGCACGCCCGTCCGCCCCGGCACCGCGCCCTGTGCCGCGGCCACCCCAAGCCTCCCAACTCCGGACCCGGAATCCGGCTTCCTATGAGCATGCGCAGAGAGGGGGCACCGAGGCCACCTTTGGAAAAATCCACTTCTCCGGGTCTTCCGTACGATCCAGAGGAGGTGGAGGGCCAGCCAATAGGAGATGAGGGCGTGGCCTGAACCTGTGGAAGACGCGGGGCCGCCGTAAAGATTTGGAAAGAGCCTTCTCTAAGCTTGCCCAGGGTGTTTACTGCTGACTTGACTTTCCGGTCGGTGGCCAAAGCTTGTGCATGACCTCAAGTGAGGTCCTCGGGGCACTGGCGTTCTTTTCTCAAACACGTTACAGCAAAAGTAGGCTGTTAATGACTACTCCTTGACCTAGCTTAGTATTTAACTTAGAACCCATTGCAAAAGTAAATCATTCCATTTAGCAGATGAGTGTAGCAAAAGACCTGTAGTCTATTTTTATTAGTAATCAAATTCTTCACTCCCCTGCCACCTCATCAGCCCAATAATAAAGCTAATACTTTTCATAAAATACATGTGTCAGCGCAATTAATTCACACACCAGTCTCTCTTCTTCCATCATAACTATAAACTTTTTGAAAGAATCATGCACCAAGAACAACGCTGACACTCCACGAATATTTGTAGGATTCAGTAAATATCACTTGACTGAACAAATGCACATTCCCTTCCACTAGTTCCTGATCTCTAACTTCACACCTATATCAGGTGCTATCCACATGATCTACAAAGATCATTCTGAGAATGTCACTTCACTGCTTAAAATCGTTCATTGGCTCTTCAGAGCTTTTATGACAAAAATTAAGGTGATAAATTCAAGGATTTCCTGCTCACATGCTCTGTCTCTTCTATTAGGCAATCCTGTTAGAGACCTATCTTCAGAGATTTTTGAATGTGCTCATTCATCTCTGTACTTAAACATACCATTTGCTCTAAGTTTTCTTTCACATTTTGCTGTCAGGTCCCTTTAAGTAAATGCAACAGCTGCTTACAAACACCCTTCAGAAATACCATGTATAGTCCAGCAGCAGTTTGTACTCCTCCAGAATTGTGCAAGGCCTCCTTCTGCTACCTTCTCTGTGTCTCACTTTTAGCTCCCCCATTTGCTCCGTTTCCCCCAATGCTGTACAGAAGCTCCTAGTATTCTCCTAGTCCCCTAAGAACCTTGCTCAAGTCCTTGCTCAAGTCCATGATAGAGCACTTGTCCTCTGTCATGGAGCTACACCCCGAGCAAGAATATTTATTTTTATTGTTGGATATTTCTTCAGTTTCAAATGGACACTATTAAAAATATAAATTTTCATAAATTTTTGTCTAGGGGCTGAGATGTAGCTCAGTGGTAGAGCACTTGGCTAGCATACACAAGGTTCTGGGTAGGTTCAATCCTCAGCATCAGGGAAAAAAAGCAATAAATCATTGTCTGTGTCCTATTTGTTTTCTTAGGTTAAATCCTCAGAAGTAATCAAAGGGTATGAACAAGTTTAGCCGTTTTGAAACAAACTGGCAAGTTGCCTCCAGGAAGAGCATATGTTTATGTGATACATTGCTTTAGATCAAAACACAGCTGACACTGCAGGTCACATTCTACTTTCATAAACTTAGGCACTTTTACCTTTGTAGACCTCTTCCTTCATAAAACAATATTGCAAATTTTATTTTCTGATCAGATTAGTATAGTGACAAACGAATTGACATTATACGTTAGAGTACTTTCTTTTACCTAAACATTTAATTTTTTTCCCTTTGATTTTTAACCCTGCTGCCACCTACAGCGATGAGATTTGGCCAACTTGCTTAATCTAATTGTACCTCAGCTAGAAAATTGGTATTGTGACACCACATGATATTGTAGTAAAAAAGTAAATGACTTCCTACAAGTAAAATACTTGTAGCTACCTAACACATAAGCATGGCATATAATGAATAAATTATTGTTGCTATAAAGATTATCCATTTTCCCAAGACACTATATGTGGGTAAATGTCCTTCTTCACTGTGTCCAAGTGATCATGATATATTTTCACATGAGTTAGATATGGTATCTTATTGTTGTTCCATTATTATCTATTTTTTTACTGGATAATTCACAAAAGGGCTCTTTATATAATATTAATGTTGATTCCGGATAAAACTATTGGTCTTTTCTATTTTTTCTTTTTTACCTCATATACCCTTTCCCATTGTAAGATCATATAATTATCTGCCTTTTTTACTACTTGACTATTCATTTTTTTCATTAAATAATTCAATCTTTTAGAATTAGTGTTGGAGTGATTATCTAACTTTTATTTTCTCTAAGTAGCTCATGATATTCCCCAGCCTATTTGTTAAAGAATCTTTGTCTAACTGAAGTGGTTCTAAAACATGTGCACAAACTTGTTGATAATCTTTCCTTTACAATCCGGAGCCTAATTCTCTTTCAAGTATGGCTATAGTTAGTGACTTGGTCCTAATAGATACATAAGGCAGAGCCATCACTTCAAAAACTGAATTGTGAAAAGGCATTATGGGTCCTCTCCACTCTTTCTTTCTCTCTCTCTCAGATCATTAGCAGCTGCCAAGGGTCAAGGTCACATCAAATGGCAGATAGCAAGGCACTGAGATACCTTGCCAACAATCAGCAAGGATCTGAGGCCTCCTGCCAGTTACCATGTGAGTGGCACATCATAGAAGTGGATCCTTCAGGCCTTAGGATGATTGCGCCGTGACCACAACTTCATCAGAGCCCTTGAACCAGAATCACCCAACTAATTCATTCTCACATTCCTGACCCATAGAAACTATGAAGTAATAAACACATATTATCTTATGCCTCTAAATTTTGGGAATAATTTGCTAACCAGAAATGGAGAAATATGCGACTCAAGGGGTTCTCAACCTGGGACAGTTTTGCATCTTAGGGTAATTTGACAATGTCTTGAGACATTTTTCGTGGTGGTAGGTTGGAGAGGTTTCCATTAGCATCTAGTGGATCAGAGATGGTGTCAAACATCATACAGTGAACAAGACAGCCTCCTTGCCTGACTCAAGCAATGAAGAATTACCAGGTCCCAACAGCATTGCGCTGTACCAAGCTGTCTACTTTCCCTTTCAGCTTAAGTTTCTTCTTCTACATGGGCTTGTGAAAAGAGGGGTTTGTGCTTCATCTATTACTCGCTTGGATGTTCCTTTGCGTTTCTCAACCCTCCTTAGTATTTCCATGCTCTCCTGATGGTTAAAGCTTGAAATTCATACGTCAAGTGTCTCTCTAGACAGTCTGCTGCTTTGGGGTTCTTCTGATGGTAGTGAAATTATTATGAGGCCAACATCAAGGTCTATCTTGATGGCCTCTCTCCTATTTATCTTTGTCAAGGACAACACAATTATTGAGTATATTAAACTTAAGGGTTGGCAAACACTTAAAACAATTATATTTTTGAACTAAATTATTTTTGGTGATCATATTAGTCAATGTTCTGCAGAGAAACGGAACCAATAGAACATATCCCTACATATATATGAATTTATTAGAAAATTGGCTCAGATGGTATTTGTCACTGTGACACAATCACAGAGGTTGAAAAGTTGCATGTTGACAGTCTGCAAGCTAGAAAGCCAGAGAAGCTGGTAGTAATGACTCAGTCCAAGAAGCCCAAATTGTCAGAACCAGGAGGCCAATGGACAGCTTGTAGTAGAAGGTCAAAGGCCCAAGAGTCTCCAGAAGACTGCTGATACAAGGCCAAAGAACCTGAAGTTCCGATGCTCAAGGGCAGCAGCAAGAGAAAGCACACCTGCTTAGAGAGAAAGATTCCCACTTGTTGGGCTTTTCTTTCTACTAACCCCACTTGGATGGTTGGTGCTCTCCCACCTTCAAGATGGTTATTCCCCCACTGAGTTCACTGACCTCCAGGCCAGTCTTCTCTGGAAGCACCTCACAAACACTCATATTTCCCACTTCTTCAGATAACCCTCTATCCAGTCAAGGTGACATCCAATCTTATCACAATGAAACTCTTTGTTAATTGATAATTGAAATACTATTTACATATATGAAAGTGAATCTGTTTTAATTGGTACATTTCAATGAATTTTGACAAATTAATATACCAGTATTATTAATACACAATCATCATGATGTAGAGCACTTCTAACACTGTTTAAAGTACCCTCAAGCCCTACCTCTCCAAGCTTCCGCTGGTCCTGGGCTACCACCAATCTACTTTATGTCACTGTAGAATAATTCTAGTTTTTTGAGAATTTGATATAAATGAAATCACCCAATATGCACTCTTTTTTAATCTGGTTTAGTTCAGCATATTTTAGAAGTTCATTCATATTCATATTCACATGCATATTCATATATTGTCTACAGCAGTCATTTCATTTTTATTGCAGTCCTATTCCATGGTCTGAATTTGCTACAATTTTTTTTTGTCCTATCTACGGACATGCGGAGCTCTTTATGACTAAAAATTCTATGACTGTTTGGTTAAAAGTCCTTGTGTGGATATACATTTTCATTTTTCTTGAAAGCTGAAAATGATGTGGTGATACTTAAACTTGATTGTCAACTCAATTGGATTGAGAAGTGCTTAGGAGATTAGTAAAGCACATCTCTGGGTGTATCTGACTGCATTTTCAGAGAAGATTATTTCAGGAGGAAGCTCCACCCTGAAAGTGAGCAGCACTATCACATTGCTTTGAGTCTAAGAGGAGACTTTGAACTTGGACTTTGGAAGAACAATGCTGTTAACACTCTGGGAGACGGACTGAATGCTTTTGTCATTATGAGATAGACATAAGTCTTTTGGGGGCCAGGAATGAAATGTTATGGCTTAAGGAGATGTGTTTG